GTTCAAACGCGAAAAGGCTACCGTCGAGTCACAACTGAGCGAGTTGGAGAGCCGTTCGAAGCACCACGACGCCCATCTGCGAACAATCGATGCATGGTTTGATCAGGTCAGTATACCCTCGGGTTTTGATTGAGGTGACGCTAATGCCTTCTTAGCTTATCGATGAAATCAAACTCCGGGGGGCTGACGAGCTGCCTGCATCATCGTCCGCTTCTGAGTCTACTCCTTCAGTCCCTGCCGCCCTTCTTGGCGACGACAATGAGGCCTTTAAGCAACACTTGTCCAAGCGCAGGGAAAAGATTCTCTCCTCACTCTCCTCTCTTTTTGCCAAGTTTCCTGCAGCCAGCCCGGAGGTCGCTCAACTTCAGAAAAAGCTGTCAGAACTTCTAGCTAGCGAAAAGGATCATGTCATTCGACTCCAGCAGGTTGCGACAGAAAAGGAGCAATTGTCGGACCGACTGGATACCGCTACTCACCGCTATCTTGTTGCTGAAAAGAAACTTGATCGATTGAAAAGTGCTCAGGTTCAGAAGCTTGAGCAACAAGCAGTTGGGACCAGCACTGTAGCAAAGGAAGAGCCCCCTTCAGCTAGCAACGGAACAGATGCAGCCAACGGCGCCTCACCAGGACCAATCAGTGAGGAGCTGGAGACTGCAAAAAACCAAGCTTTGGCTGAGGCGGCTAAGAGGAAAGAGCATCTAGAACAGATGGAGCAGGAGAACAAGAAACTCACAGAAGAGATTACGACATTGAAAGTCAAACTTACCGGGCTCTCTGATGATGATTATGCAAAGACAGATCTTTTCAAGGCGATTAAAAGTCAGCATGAAGACGTCATTAAACGCATCAACAACCTGGAAGCCCAAAACATTTCCTTGCGCGAGGAAGCGCAAAAGAGTCAGGCTGAGCGAACAGCATACCGGATCAAAGTGGACGAGGAAGTGCGTACAACCCTGGCGGAACACGCAAGCCATGTTTCACAAGCAGAAGCAAACTGTGCCCGTATCCGAAACGCTCGCGACGAGCTTGTAAGTAAGAATAACGTTCTGGAGGCCAGCCATAAGGATTCCAAGGAGTCTATCGAGCAATCGAAACAACTCGTGAGTGCTTGTGACAGCCGGATTGCGGCGCTCGAGTCAGAATGCGAGCGACTGCGACTGCAAATTGCCGAACAGCAAGCATCCATGGGACAGCAATCCATGGAGCTGGACGACTTGACTCCGGAGCAATTGCGGGCCAAGGTTTTGAAGCTTGAGAGTCAAGCTCAAATCTTGAGTAACGAGCTACCGGCCATGGAAGCAGCATGGAAGAAGGCGCAAGCAATTGCAAGCAAGAAAATTGCCGAGATTGCGACATGGGAAGAGAATATTGCCAAGGCACACGCAGACAAGGCCAAGGCGGATCAAAAGTTTTTCGCCGCAATGAAGACCAAAGGCGAGTTGGAACAGCAAATTCGAATCCTCCGCGCCCAGTCGACCAAAGCCACGGAAGTTGTGGCACAGTTGAAAGAGGCAGATTCGCTCAGTCGATCGCTGGTAGACAAACTGGAGAAGCAAACAGCAGAAATGCGATCGCAGATGGACGAGCTTTCTATTCAGCACCGCCAGCTGCAACAAAAAGTCAGCGAGAACGCCATTACGTCCGAGGGCCAGGCCAGCCAAATCGCCGAGCTCAAGAAGCTTGTCGAAACCAAGGACGCAACGTGCCTGGCGGCAAAGCACGCGCAACGGGAATCGGAAACGGAGCGAGACAAGCTGGCAGCGCAAGTTGCTGGACTGGAGAAGCAGGTGCAAATCTACAAGAAGAAGAGCACGGCCAACCAGAGCTCGGAAGTGTCGACGATGGAGCTGCTGATCCAGTGTCAGATTTGCAAGAGCAAGCTCAAGAACACGGTCATCAAGACGTGCGGGCACATGTTCTGCGACCAGTGCGTGCAAGACCGGCTCACGAACCGAGCGCGCAAGTGCCCCAACTGTGGCAAGGCGTTTGGCAGCAACGACACGATGCGCGTGCATTTGTAATATCTACTACGACTTCCGTCTGGCTTCCCTTTTTCATGTACCCGGTGCGTCCTGTATATTAGCTGCATTTCTTTGAGTACCCTTTTTTTGTCACCATTTTACAAGAGCGTGGAGGGCAAGTTTTGAGGCCAAGCACCAGGGGGTGCCTTGGATACGTTGGCGTTTTACGGGTGGCCATGGGCCACATTCCATACATAGCGTTGGTGTTTTGGCAGCGCGGAGCATGTACGATCAGAGTTGTGTGCATGTTCAGACGACATGAGTTCGCATGTTTTACTAGATGGCCTGAGGGTACTTTCTCGGTCTCAGCAATGTTTCAATGGGCGTGGGCTAGATAAACATGATAGGTTGTATGCAAGTTGGGGGAATGATGGGAGGAAGAGAATGCCAAAGCAATTAGTATGGATTGTCTGTGCCAAACAAAGGCGAGTGGATCAACGGTGACTCACCCAACCCTGACAGGGCCCGCGGGTGGAGAGACAGGCAGTGACAGCCAACCAGGTGAGGCGTCATGGCCCAAACCGGGCAGAGATCCCAGGGTGGAAGGAGGCAACCACGCCCGGGTAATGACGTGAAGGACGCGTTCCCTGCCGTTGCCCCACGCGACATGTCCAATATAAACACGTGCAAAGTCGACGACTATTACCACCACAACCCGACGCAGCCAAAGCATAAAGGAATCGCTTTGCCTCGACTTGACACCGACTACATCTAGCTTTTCACACCACCAGAGACAGAAAAAAGCAAAAATAAAGCGACATACATCTTGCATCACCACCACCAAATCCATCTTACCTCAATGGCTCCCAACGTCCTCGCAGCGCGCGACACAAACACAAAGGTCAAGGCCATGGATGCGCCAGAGAAGACCAAGATTAAGAGTCTTGAGTATCATCGTCAGGTTCTACACTCGCGTCTCGATGACAAGCAGTACGTTGGGCCAGGCATGCACCTAATACGATAGCGTCACACTAACGTCAAGATAGGGAGTCAAAGTATGTCTCGCCATCCGACGACATCATGAGCCCGGCCACGCAGAAGCTGCAGGCCTTCAAGACCAAACACGCCATGAAGAAGTAAGTCATGTCGTCCGCTTTCATGCGCCTAAGGTTACATGAGCATGTGAATTAACCAAGCTACAGATCAAAGCCACAGACGCTGTTCAAGAAGGCGAGCTCTAAGAGTCTCGAGGCCAACAAAGGCAGCGGCTCGCTCATGTTTGCCGATATCCCAAAGGTTGATGCGGGCAAGCAAGACGCAGAGGCCTAGAGCCGACATTGCTATTCTCTCTCGGGCGCTTGGGTTGTGGGTTTCTAAAGGTGGTTTCACGTGTGGTATACCCTTTTCTTTCATGACCATAGTGCCGGTTTGTTTGGGCTGGTTCGGGGCTAGGCTAGGTCTCATGATACAATGGGCTTCATTGGAGTTTTGGGCACCCTGGTAGGGTAGTATTACGAATATGACGACTTTGCAGCTGTAGATGCTACGACATCAATGAACATTTTTCGAGCTTAGTCTACTTTGTGCTCATGTAAAGCGTATGCATGCACCAGAATGGATCCCTGGCTATGTTCGGTAATGTCGCCAAGCCACGAGTTGTAGCCTTTCGCTAGCCGCATCCTCTTCCGACCTCCAAGATGAAACCACCAACCCAAGACCAGCAAGCCCTGCTGGACGAGGTAGCAGACCTCGAAAGACGACTACAAGATGCAAAGGCCCGGCTGAACCCAGATGCCGTAGTTGCAACTCCCCCTTTCTCGCCACTTCCCAATGCCGGCCCATCCCCGCCTGTACCCTCCTTCTCCCCCGCCGAACAAGACGCTGCCCTGCATGCCCTCCTCTTGCTCGCCGACTCGGCCCTGCCACTAGGGTCTTTTGCTTTTAGCAGCGGCTTAGAGTCGTATCTCGCGCACCATAAGCCAGCGACGCCCTCGGCGTCACAGCTGCCGGCCTTTAACACGTTCCTCCGCCTCTCGCTATCAACGCTCGCCAGCACGTCACTCCCATACGTATTTGCCGGGTATCGCGACCCAAAAGAGATTGAAACTCTGGATAATGACTTTGATGCGAGCACACCGTGTACTGTGGCACGACGGGCTAGCATAGCACAAGGCCGGGCGCTGCTTGCTGTTTGGGATCGAAGCTTCCGAGCGCAGTACAATAGCACCGAGCAACACACGCGTGAGCACAGCTTGAATGGCGTAGCAGGCAAGAATACAGCCGTCGAAGTGCTTGCATCCTTTTCTGTCGCCCTCCGCACGTCGGAGCACATAAACGCCCACCTTGCCCCGCTATGGGGCCTCATCACCCGCATTCTGCATGTTCCACTGCAGCAAGCTGCCTATCTGTTTCTGTTTTCCCATGCGAGGACAGTGGTCAGCGCTGCTGTGAGAGCTAGTGTCATGGGCCCTTATCAGGCGCAAGCGGTGCTGGCGAGTGCAGAGCTGCAAGAGAGGATTCGCGGGCTGGTTGACGAAGGCTGGGATAAGACAGTCGAGGATGCAGGCCAGAGTGTGCCAGTCATGGACCTTTGGGTTGGTAGACACGAGAAATTATATTCGAGAATCTTTAATTCATGATCAAGAGACGATTCCATATCGTAGACAAACGAGCAACCTGAGCGACCTTGGCAGCACGTGCATATTCGAGGGATTTCTCATCTTGTGGCGGAAAATACACGCCATGTAACTGCAGCCACAGCAGAGGGATTCAGTATTATCTAAACATGGACTTTTGGTGAGTGTCTGGTCGTGGACGATTTCAGCCAGTAGCCGTGCTACAACGACCTCGTGCTTGGTCGATTCGCGCAAACAGCCATTTTGCTTATACCGCGTGACCGCTCGCTGAACCACACGTGCAATACAGCATCTGACATGGCCAGACACTGACACTGCTTCTTTGCTATAGGATATTTTGTCAAACCATGGATGCCTGGGAGTGCCATGAGTGTTGCGACTACACCATCTCAGACCCATCACCATGCTATCCTCAAGTGTAACCAAATGGATCTCAAGTGTCCTCACCCTGACTAGTCCATCTAACAATGTCAACCAAACTCCCCTTGTTTCTCCCACCGTCAAGTTCCCATGGATCCAAAGTTTTGCTTCAATAGGCGACTCGTACTCTGCTGGTCTCGGTTCCGGACATCGCCTTGACTGGCTCTGCTCCCGCTACACACACTCTTATCCCAACATACTACACATATCTCTCCTTGGTACGAATCCAAACCGAAATCATACATTCCTTGCCTGTTCTGGCGCCACTAGCACCGAAATCCTCGCTACCCAGGTGCCAGCGCTGCCCTCGAACCTCGACCTACTCACCATATCAGCGGGCGGCAACGATGTTGGTCTTACCGGCATCCTAAGCGCATGCATCTACCAATTCTATATGGCCGCCGAGGACGCTTGTGCAGAGGCTATTGATCAAGCACGCGCTCGCATCGCCAACGAGACAGAATTATACCACAACACGAGTCTCCTGGTCGATGCAGCAAAGCAAAAGATGAACCCGCAGCACGGCAGCATATACTACACAGGATATGCGACATTCTTCGGCGCAGACGACGAAGCATGCGACAACGTGACGTGGGCCATATGGAAAGATGTCGAATGGGAGAAGCAATACCTCACCCGCGACCTCCGCGGCAAACTCAACGACATGGTCCGCAGCGTCAACAGCATTTTAGCACAAGCAGTCGAAGACGCCGGATCGGGCGTCCACTTCATCGACTACGATGCAGAAATCCGCCAGTTACGCGGTCGCTACTGCGAGACCGGCGTTGTCGAGCCCGCGCCGAATCGCGCTGGACTGGCCTTTTACGAGTGGGCGACTGTGGACCAGGGCGAGAATAGCACGGCGTTGTTGAATCAGACGGGGGGTGCGGTGCCGAGGTTTTCGTTCCAGGGTAAGATTGCGAGCGAGGTGGAGAAGACGGTGGAATTGCATCCCGATTGGGAGATTGAGCATGGCATGGGGTTTGTGGATAAGGAAAAGGAAAAAAAGGGTACCGGTGGTGGTGTTGGGGGAGAAGGATGGTTGGGGGATGAGGTTCACTGGTTGTTACCGGATAGCTATAAGAGGGTTTTTCATCTCAGGCCCATGGGACATGAGGTTATTGCACGGATGGTGGTGAAGGATTTGAAAAAGAGGAGTGTAGGGCAGGGGCCAGAAGTTGAGGAGCTGTGATTTATGCATGTAATTCATGAGAGAAGTGGTGAAGACAGTTGCTATTTAAGAGATTGTTGATATATACACTGCCCTGTGTGACTAAAAGAAAATTCATGTGTGAATCTATGTATGCATGGTTGAAGCTGTTTGGTCCCGAGTTTGGAAGGAAGAAACCACCGCCTTCCTCTCAAGCCCCTTTTACCATCAAAATTCCACACCAACTTCCCAAGATCAACGGCATCAAGATATCATCACATATCCCTAGCCGTGCGTTTAGGAAGAGAAGAACAAGATGCATCAATCAGAGAAGAGATGTGGACAAACAGCTGAGACCAATTGTTGTCGCACTGTCAGTCACATGCTTGGGTGCTAACATACAAATATAGACTTATGAATTGCGCATACATGCAGTAGAAGTCCGCGCAGGGGGACATGGTATCCTTTCCAACCCTTACTTTTTTGGAGAAAACAACAAGAGGTTTGTAAACGCCAGGGAAATGCCATCCATCAACGCCAGGGAGAAAATCATTAATCATGATCGTCGTTTGCCAATGCGACCGGGTCCGGCTGTCTGGCCCTTGAAGGGCTTGAGGGCGCCTTTGCCTCGCGAGGTGGGAAAGGAGACCTTGTTGGAGGGCTTGCGACGAAGCTGTTTACGGGTCTGGCTCTTGTCCTTGGACTTGTTGGAGGAGCTCTTTGTGGAGGTGGAGGTGGTGGCAGCGGGGGCGCCGTCGACGTCCATGTCTACATCAGGATGGAGTTAGCCCTTGATTCTTACCCGACCAATGTGGAGGGAGTGGGTCAAAGGCAAACTCGAGGTGGCCGTCTGTGGTGAAGCCAACAACATCGGAACATAAGCCCAGGTGGAAGCACAGATTCCTGAGGTCACAGTCGTCCTGTGCTGCGTCGAGGGGCTTTGGGGAGGGGTCGGACAGGCAGCGTGGTATGGGAGCAGTGAGAAAAGACGAACCTTTGGGCAAGTCGTCCTCGTTGGCGGCGGTGGTGGTGGTCTCGGCTGCGGTGTTGGCTGGGCTCATATTAGCAGACGGACATGCGCGAGAGGATGCGACCAGCTTACTGTCTTCAGCAGTGTCCATCTGGTTACTTTCTGGCTTGGGTTGCTGGACTGTCTCGAGAAGTTTGGCATGCAGGCGTTCCATGCGCGCCTGCTCGACAGGGCCGAATACTCTGGCGCGCAGCTTTGTGCGGTTTGCCTTTTTGCTGCTTGCGCGGAGACCCTTTGCCATTTTGTGTGTGTGTGTGTGTGTGTGTGTGTGTGTGTGTGTGCTTGTGTATGGGGAGAGAATATGGGTGTGTATGTTGGAGAATGTAAGTATGTCGCTCGGCGGGCGGGTCGTTGGGTGGGGAAAATGCAAAAGCTGGGAATAATAATTTTAGTGGCGAGGCACCACCAGGGCCAGGGCCAGGGCCAAACCCACGCCGGCCCGTGCTCGGGTCGCGTTCTTCGCCGAGTGACGCTGACTGCCTTGGGGCACACACGCTGGCAGCACTTGGGACATGGGCCCGCCGCCAGACCCGCCGCCATCGTCGACGACGGCCACTTGAGATACACAGCGAGGCGCCAGATTACTGCTCGTCTGCCTGCACTGTACTGTACTACACGGCACTGAATCGCCCGCCGACCGAGTCTGGCAGTAGAGAAGTTGCGACCAGCACCCGCCCGGCCAACTGCCTCGACGGCCCTTCACTTCACCACCGTCTTCCTCTCACCCTCGCCCGCCCCAGGACTCGAGACCTCCTCGCTCATATAGCCCCCGATATGCCTTCGCCATATCCGTAGCATTTCACCCTCACATCTCCAAACCCGCCTGGCCCTGTCCATCGCGACACCAAAACCCATCCGCTCGTCCTCGCATACCCACACGCACACCCAGTATGGAGGCGACGCTGCAGCACACGGCTGCTACCATCACAGAGCGTTCAAAGAGGCTCATCAACAATGACCTCAAGAAAATCCTGAAAGAGGAGGGCAAAGCCCAGACGGGCAACAAGGCTGCCCTCCAGGCTCGCGTCATTGATTGTACGTACATGTTCTGGGCGCCGCCTCGATACTTTTCACCACTCGTCCTGCTAACCCTCACGTTCACCAGTAATCACCGATGCCGTCTCTAGAAGAGACCATGAGCAATTGCGCCGCCTACACCATCGCGTGCAGCATCACGGTGAAGCGCCGCCCCCAACAGCAACCAGCCCGGCTGCTCCTACATATTCGCAACCGCCCCCGCCCCTTGCGAACAGCTACGCCATGTCCAACGGATACCAGTCCAACGGCGCGCGCCAACCGCACCAGCACCACCAGCCAGCATTGCCCTCTCGTACGTTGGCCCCCGTTGCGCTCGTGTGCCCAGCCGCAGTAGTACTGATGACGACAGCAGGTCCCACGTACTTTTTCAAAGACAGCCCCTTCTTCGAGATACGCGAGCTTGTGCTCACAAACATGTCGCTAGAAGGTATGTTTGCCTTTCTCGCCGCTACCTGCCCTTCTAAGCTAACTATATGCGAGCTTCTCCAACTCACAGAGCCACGCTCTCAAAGAGCCTTACCCTGAATGAGGCTCAGACAGGGCGCTTAAATTCCGACCCATCCCTGCGACTGCTGCTCTTCTCTGCGCTTGAGCAGCCGCTGGCTCCTTACTCGCGTCTCGACATTGCATTTCCTTCTCAGATCGAGGTCAAGGTCAATGATGCAGAGGTCAAGGCAAACTATAAGGGCCTCAAAAATAAGCCAGGCTCGACGCGTCCGGCTGATATTACCGACTTTGTCCGCACAAAAGTCGCCAATCAGCGCAACAGCCTCCTCATCACTTATGCCCTGACCCAGAAGGCAAGTCAACCAGAGGTTTCTTTCCATTCAACTCACCTGAAATGTGACTCCAAGCTAACAGTCTTTTGTAGAAATATAACCTATTTGTTTACTTGGTGCGGAAATTCTCAGTCGAAGAATTGACCCAGCGTATCAAGCGCCGCAATGTCATTACCAGGGGATCCGTGTTAGAGGAGAGTAAGGCGCCCCCTTTGCGCATCCGACACCAAGCTCAACTAACCCGTCAATAGTGATGAAGAAGGCCAATGACCCAGATATCGAAGTGGGATCGAGCGTCATGTCACTCAAAGATCCAATTTCCACTCTGCGAATCGTCACTCCCTGCAGATCTACAGTCTGCACACACAACCAATGCTTCGATGCCGACTCTTTTCTACAGCTCCAGGAGCAAGCGCCCACATGGACCTGCCCAATATGCAACAAGACCATATCATTCGAGGCACTTGCTGTTGATGAATACGTTCAGGACATTTTGAGCAAAGCCCGCAACACGGACCAGGTCACTATCCAGCCAAATGGCGAGTGGTCGACCGAGAAGGACCTAAAACCCAAGCACAACAACCATGACGACGACAGTGACGATGACCTCGTTGAGATCACTGACTACCGCGTCCAGGCTATCAAGAGTGAAGCCGCACCAACCCCTACCTCGCTCAGTACGCCTCCGTTGCCCTCTCGAGAGCCATCCATTGCCCCTCGCTCCACCCAAAAGAGGACCTCTGAGGTTGTCGACCTGACATTGAGCGATGATGAAGATTCACAGAGGCCAACTAAAAAGGTAGCGTATACTACTACCCCCAACAGCATTCCAGATGCATCGCGTCGGTACCAATTGCCTCCTTTGCCAACTACAAGGCGCCCGCCACCACCGCCGGTCTACCACTCGAGTCCTACCAATGTACGCCCGGAATATTCCCGCCCTCCATCTACACCCCCATCGCGCCACGCTTATCATTCCTATCGACCCGCGCAGCCCGCACGGCCTAGCTATCCTGGACAGGGTACTTCCACCTACCCCACGCACATTGGCTCTTCCTCGCCTTGAAGCATGTGCTGCGCTTTATAATTGTCTATTACCATTGATGTATGAGTACATATTTGTTCCCGTGCTAACGTAATTTTGCCCTCACAGGGCAGAAAGTAGACGAAGTAGTACGACACCTGTCCAAACCGCCTATTCCAATGCAGTCTCACTTGATTGTGGGCGCCCCGGGCGGGTGGACGGAGCGGAGTGCTCCTCTTTCTTCCTGATTTGACATGGGGATTTAGCGCGAGGCGTTTGGAGGGCGACATCTCATGATCATCTATCTGCTTACGGCGTACCGAGGGATTGGACAACATTGGGGATACCACCGCATGGAAGGATTGCACGTGTTTCGATAGCCATTGTAAGCAAGCTTTTGCGACGAGAAAACAGAATGAAAGCTGCTTGCCGAAGAAGAAGGTTCGCCGAGTGGCGAACACAAGTCGGGGTTACGTTGAACAGTGTAATAACAAAAATGCAGTAGATAACCTTTTCGGCTTAGGCTACAGCTAATCATTCGAGTTTGCTATGAAGTCCGGCCGTATTCAAGGCTGCCACGGTCCTTTTGCAAAGCCACCACTAATGTTTTCCGCTTCCCCATTCTCCCTGACTACGAGGACATCCTCGTGGCGCACACCAAATTTGTTGAGAAGATAAACACCCGGTTCGGCAGTGAATACCATGCCTGGGCGTAATGTGGCTACGGAGTTGCCCTTGTTGAGGTATGGGCTCTCGTGTGCCTTGATGCCGATGCCATGTCCTAGACGGTGGGTAAAGTAATCGCCGTAGCCTGCAGCTTGGATAATGTCGCGTGCGGCAAGATCCACCGCGGCGGCCGTGGAATCCGGTATCATTGCATTGACAGCAGCAGCCTGTGCATCTAGCACAAGCTGCCAGACCTCTAGCTGCTCAGTTGTATTGTGTTCCGACGTTGTTGGCGGCACTGGCTCAAACGGTGGATAAAATGTGCGAGTTACGTCGGAACTGTACCCATGTAATTTTGCGCCAACATCAATAAGGACAAACATGCCAGCATCCAACTTCCTGGTCCCGTCGTACCCGCCATGGGGCAAGGCAGCGCTTTTTCCAAACTCGACAATATCAAAGAACGGATCGAGCCCAGCGGCTCTTAGCGCATCGTCCAACACATGTTTGACCTCATTCTCCGTCACACCACGATAGAGACACTGTCTCATGGCACGAATAGCTTCCACCGTTCCCGTATTAACAGCTTTCAGAATGCTAATCTCGCGCTCCGTCTTGACTTGTCGCACAGCTTCCACTTCACCGGCCAAACCTGAGACGGTAAAGCCATTCGACGCCAGCCCACGTTGGATAAAGTCGCGTATTTCTTCATCAACCATCAGTTTGGGTGATAGCTTCTCCCCCCAGATCTCAGAGAGGTAAAGCGTGGTGTAATAGTCCCAATGCTCTTGATACGTAATCGTGTGGATATCATGTTCAAATGGCATATCGAGCAGCCTCGCACGCGTCTCTTCAAAACTCGGCACCAAGAACGACGTATTTGCCACTATACCCCCGTCTTCCAGCGTCTGAGGCCGGATGACCATTAAAAATGGGCGTTCTTCGGGCTCCCAGGACTCCCAGTCTTGCTGTGTCACGTTTGCGTAGTAACTAAATGTGTACCCTGGCTCTACCACGAATGCATCCACGTTTTCGGCAACAAGCGCTTTAGCGAGGTTGTTGCGTCGAAGTACGTATTCTTCTAGTGGTGGTGGTTGTGCTGAGTCTAGGAAGGGCAGGCCAGTGGACAGATAGGTGTTGATTGAGCATTTGTGGAAAGTTGCAAATTGAGAGGCGGAGAATATGTGGTCATGGCCAAATGACGTGTAGAGATACTAGAATTGGGTGTCTTGAGATGTTTGGTTTCCCGAGATAATGACGATGGGCTTGGAATCAAGAAAACGTACCATAGTCGCGAGGATTGCGGTGCTTATCAAAATGTATAGAAGCGATGGACAGGTACTACTACGCCCGAGTGCTTTCCAGCGAGTAAGCGGTGTTCCGCCATTAGGAACGAAGAGACCCTTCATTTTGTCTTAGCATATCAATATGCAAATTTGATAAATAACCAATGTTTAAAGAGTAGGATGATGACGTTGAGACTGAGATGCATGTGTACGCCAACCAGGAATAGCGCCAACGCGCAGTCACGTGGAACGCCATGCCCACTTTAGCATCACACAAGGTAGATCACATGGCGAAGGAGACGAATCAAAGCAAGAGTCTAGACTTTTAGATGTGATTTGAATTTATGCCATGGAATTGAATCCGTATCCTGATTACCCCGTCATACCAAGAGTAATCCCACCTGTCCGACATGAACCCCACTCCTTGGTACATGGATCGCCTGCACCATTCCTGTTATTTCCATCACAAGAGGAAAATACTTGAGTGCTTTCGCCGTACCAGTGCCTAGACGCACTCGATCTCATCTCCAGAATTGACCATGACATGGATAGTATCGCTAAGATCCTCAGTCTTGACCTTGCCGCTTCCAACTGACTTGTTCTTGTTGACTCGACCAGCTTGGACCTTGTCAGCTACTCAACAGTTAGCAATGCGATAACCCCTAGGATATAGTACTTACTCTTCTTGGAAGGACTGCGACTCGTCTTCTTGGTCGGGCTGCTGCTATTGGCACGCGGCTTCTTGGGAGTGGGAAGAGTGTTGTCCATAGCTGCAGCCTTGAGATCTCTAGCCTGTCTCTTCCAGACTCTAGAATGTGACTCGAGAGCGTCATAGGTCATACCGTTGCCATAGAGCCGCGCGACTTCTTTAAGATCGATCTTTAGGAAATATATTAGTACAATGGCGTATGGAGTCAGCACAGAGCAAGAATAAACGTACCTTGTTGTCGTTGGCAGCAAGGTATGCCACCAAAACGCCTTCAATGACTTTGATGTCGTTCCAGTTGGTCGGCATGGCGGCAACGAAGACTGTGTGCTGTTAGTGAGAGTCGGAAGTAAACACGTAACGAGATAGCGGCTGTGCATATATAGAATAAACCTAGAATTAGCTAGGCAGAATAAATGCGTTGCTATGATAAGCCATCTTGAGCTCTATGTAGGGTAATCGTTCCCACGTAACAACTGTAATGTGCAAAGCTGATAAGCTTCACTGGTGGGGTCAACTTACTTTAGTGGTGATCGAAAGGTTCTTGAAGTGGATATGCGTAATATATTTCAAATTGCAGTGAGGGTTGAGTGTTGTAGTTGTGGTGTAGCTTGGTTGAAAGGAGGACATGGAAGATATGCAGGCGGCAGAGAGCACGTGCAGGTGAGTGAAGGTGAATAGCAAAACATTAGCTTTGCTTTCTCACTTTCCCACCTTCACGCCGCCAGCACGTGGTAATAAAGAGATGACGTAGTGGAAGAACACTCGGCACGTCTGCCTGTCTACGCAGTGGCGCGATATGTGTTATTCAACGTATGATGGTTGGAAAGACATGTTTTCACAAGCGACCAAACATGGAGAAGAACACTAGGAGCAAAAGTTATGTCTAGGAATCAGCTAAGATGCCGAATAATAGATATGAATTGGGTATAAATGCTTTTATAGTTAACGCCTAGCGGGACTTTGGAGAGCACACAAGCCCTAGTTAATTACGAACTCTTTGCTCAAAAATGTTGTTGTGCAACAGGGCTACTTCATCGCTTCGCCTTGTTTGCTTTGGAATCATCCCATTCTCTCTTGCCCTTACCCTGGGCTTTGAGTCTCTTTGCTTCCTCCCTTGGATCTATAACCAGTAGCTCTTCTTCGTTCTTCCGCTTCCATTCAAGGTCTTTGCCTAGCCTGTCTTTTGCAAAACTAAGCGAATGGGACATCCAGCCTGCATCGTCATCGGAACCCTCGTCTTCTTGAGCGTCCCAGGCTTTGCACGACTGACAGCCTACTATGAAATGCAGGTCACATGCGGCTTCGTCGTCTTGATCACCACTGTTACCATGTCCGCTTTCATTTTCGTTTGGCGTGTTTTCGGACAGTGTTGAAGCGGCTGGTTTGGGCATTGTGGCTGGCTCTGCAGCCTCGAGTTTGGATTTGAAGCGTGCCAAGATGTCTAACGAGGATTGCTCATCTTTTGAGTTTCCACCAGCACCGCGCTTGCGTCCGCGCGTGGTTGTTGAGGGTACCATGGCTTCGAGCAGAGACTTTTTCTTGACAGGCGCTGCATCCTGAATTTGCGTGCCCCGCTTCATCGAGGCTTTGAGTTCGGCAATTTGCTGGTTCACACGATCAAGTTTTGCTCGTTTCTCGGCCTCTGGCGACAATTCTCGTGGGGGCGAGCGGGGTTTAGGCGCAGGCGGTGACTTGGGGGCTTGTTTCTGTGCAGGCTTGGGTTCGGGAGGCGGTGAGGGAGAGTTGCGAGATGAGTTGCGTATGGGCATGGCTTTTGCTGGCTCTGTTGGTTTGGAGGATGGTGCTTTCTCATCGCCTGCACTGACTAGCTTGGTGTTGAACTTGGGCTTCTTCGCAACGGGCGCAGAACCAGCAGTGTCCTCGTCGTCTCCAAAACTCAGGACATTCTTGCCGGCTTTCCTCTTGGGCTTCTTGGGCTTCTTAGTCTCTGCCTCTGTGGGCACTGCAGCCTGCACCCGACGGACCATGTCTTCAAAGGGGTTTACAATAATGTCTGCGCCCGTGACTTTTGTTGGGTACATGGGCTGGTCGTCGCTTCCGTCGCGGATCTCAGCCTCGGCCATCTTCATGAGGTTGTAAATGGTGTCGCCGGCCACTCGGCCAAATAGCGTGTTCTTGTCCTGCAGCTCGGGTGTCGGGGCAAGGGTGAAGAAGAACTGGCTGCCATTATCGTCCTTGGTGCCTGTGTTGGCCATGCCCAGCAGCCCGCGGCGCGTGTACTTGAGGCGGCTGTGGAACTCGTCTGCAAAAGGCTCGCCATCGTAGCTGCTCTGGCCGCCCTGGCCGGTGCCCGTGGGGTCGCCGCCCTGAATGATGAAGCCCTTGACCAGGCGGTGGAAGACGGTGTTGTCGTAGTAGCCATCGAGACACAGCTGCAGGAAGTTGCGCGACGTGACGGGCGTCTGCTTGGCGAACAGCTCCAGCTCCAGGTCGCCGGCGGTGGTGTGCAGCACCACCTTGGCCGTGGGATTGGGCTCGAGGTTGTATGTCGAGCTCATGGCGACCGTCTACCTCGCAAGGCCTGTTGCCTGGTCGTCGATGGCGCAGTGTCGTGATGTGGTGATGTCGCGTGGGTTGTCCGCGCTGCAAAGCCTCCAGCCACTCAGCGTCGAGCGCTTCCGCACGACCCACGGGCCCACGACCACTACGCCAACGTCATTCTGCGCATCCCTTAGCCATGTGCACATCTCGTACCTTGCTCGACTCCAACCCATCCACTTGCCCTTACCACTATCCAGATGGCATCTTACTTATAACACCCCTCTTCTCGTCCGATACTCGATCCATATCTGCCCTGGGTAGCACCTCTTCCTTTCCACCTTCCCACTCAACACCATGTTGCCCTACATTAATGCTCGTACGTGTTGACGAAGCCAAAATACTGACACATGCACTAACCAACCGTGAAGCATTCGAGTATGCCGGCAGCATACTTGGAAACTCGGCAGACGAGCGTGAGAAGCCTCAGCATCATATCTGCTTGGCCCATTGTTGACCTTGGCCAGTAAAACTCGTCTTTTCCTTCTACCTGTCATATCCACTTGCGGCTGTCCTCAAGAGGATACCTGACAAGGATCCATGGAAGAAGAACTTGTTCGTAATCAGGTACGTATTCCATCTGCATGTATAACATAGTACCCTGTTCATAGATCCAGTGTGTCCATGTTCTACCTGGTTGGTCTTTTTGACCTGTGGGCCGGGCTTCGAACAATCTTCATCAGTGCGGGCGGCGCCTACCTAATCGCATCCAAGATTCACTCCCCTTACATGCCCTGGATTGGCTTCGTCTTCCTCATGGGCCACATGTCTGTCAACCACATCTACCGCCAGGCTGTCAACGACCCTTCCGTCTTTGACATAACCGGTGCCCAGATGGTCATGGTAATGAAGCTTACCGCCTTTTGCTGGAACGTGCAAGATGGTCGTCTCGCTGACTCTGACCTCACTGATTTCCAACGCGAACATGCCATCCGCACCATGCCCAGCCTCCTCGACTATACAGGCTATGTCTTCTTCTTCCCAGGTCTCATGGCCGGCCCTGCATTTGACTATGCCGACTACAGCCAGTACATCACTACCACCATGTTTACCCTCCCGCCAGGCACAGATCCCTCCCGGGCCCCGCCGACACGAAAGAAGCGTAAGATTCCTCGGAGTGGAGTGCCGGCTGCCATCAAAGCTGGGTACGGCACGCTCTGGCTAGTTGCCTTTATCAAATTCTCAAGCTGGTACTACCCTGCCTTCTACCTTGGTGGCGAGTGGATGCACTACACCTTCTTGCGCAGGGTGTGGCAGCTATACATGCTCGGACTTACTACCCGTATGAAGTACTATGCCGTGTGGAGCTTATCAGAAGGAGCATGCATCCTGTCTGGCATCGGTTACAATGGTCTAGACCCCAAGACACATCGACCAAAATGGGATCGCCTCACCAACATTATGCCGCTGGAGATTGAGAGCGCTCAAAATGCACGAGCTTACCTTGGCTACTGGAACATTAATACGAACTCTTGGCTGAAGAACTACATGTACCTGCGCGTAACTCCGAAGGGCCAGAAGCCCGGCTTTCGGGCTACCTTGGCAACCTTTGTTACGAGTGCCTTCTGGCATGGCTTTTACCCTGGCTACTACCTGGCGTTTGTGCTAGCGGCATTTGTACAGACTGCCGCAAAGAGTCAGTCTGCCCACAAAACTTTAATCGAGAGGCATACTAACCATGTGTAGACGGCCGCCGCTTGGTTCGCCCACTTTTCCTGACTCCTGATGGCAAATCGCCCTTACCTACGAAGCGGTACTATGATATCTTTACCATGGTGTTGACACAAACTGTCTTTGCTTTTGTCGTCGCCCCCTTCATCTTGCTGGGCTTCTCGGACACGATCAAAGTTTGGGCACGCGTCTACTTCTACGCGCTCATCGGCGTCGCAGCGTCGTATGCCCTGTTCTCCCGTTCTTTTCCGTTTCGAAAGATGCTCGTGCAGCGGCAAACTGCCCGTGTACCACCAGCACAACCAGCCAGTCAAATTGATGGCCCTACAATTGAGAAGGCCGCACGAGAGGAAATTCGGAGAGAAACATTGGCTAGGACTGTGTCAGCAGATAGTGTGTCTGGTGTTGGCAGCCAACACCAGATGCCACTTTTGGGTATTGCCGATGACCCTGAAAAAGTAGTCGATGAGATTGTGGCCGAGGTGAAAGCAGAGATAGAACTGAGAAGACGGAGGGGCAGCATAACACAGGGGTTTGATGTCAAGAAAGCAGTGCAGGAGAAGCTCAGCCAGTTCACGAAGAAGTCGTAGGGCTCGATGCTGCTGGGGATGCCCCGGTAGGCCGCACATGTTTTATTGAATAGAAGAGCGACTGGCCATGATGGGTCCGACGATGGATTCGCTGATTGTAATCTGGATGCATTTATTTTTATGTGTTTGGTATACGTCTGTATGCGTGGTGTGTGTGTGTGTGTGTGCAAGCGGATGGCAAGGCGTCCGAGCGTGTTGGGTGATTGGAGTCGGAATACCAAGCTTTCCGGGATCAGCCCAGACCCTGGCCAGATCGCCGCGCACCCACATGGTTGATAGTGTACACGACACGCTCCCAACGTTCCCGTCCGACGCATCCACCATCAACCCATCCCGGCCACTCATACACACACCGCTCCCGCCGCCACTATCTAGGTAGTCTGCCGCGTGGCCAGCGTGAAGGCGACGCCATGTTATTCTAGAGCTGGCCGCCACCGCCTTCTTCCAGCCCAAATTTCGCACACACTAATAAACGAACCGTCGTTTGATATTAGCTGGAAAGCTTGATCCAGCCCGACAGCCAGAGTTAAAGTACAGGCAGAGCCCAACCGATCCACATGCTTGCTGCAATACGGGTGCACAGGCATGTGTTCATGTAAAAATTATCCGGCTGCTGCTCTTGGCCTCGCAGGTCTAGGCAAACTGGTCAGATTCATGGAACGGACCTGCATCGCGTAAATGCTCGAATCTGGGGTTTCCCAGTTTTTAGTGACTTACGTAGGCGGCCCGCAATAAGCAATCTACTAGTACGCTTGTCATCTCCGGCCGCTCAATGCTTGGAAAGCGCTTTCTTGCTCCACCATGCCGCATGCTGGCCCCCAAAGACTCTTGGTTCCTGGTGCCCGTATACATGGCCCAACAGTAAATAGATTTCCGTGTATACAGACGGGTCTCGTTACTGACGCTGTGTTTCTCGTACTCAGCCGCTCGCAACGTTGCTCAGGGCACAGGGCTCGACTACAATGCTCCTAGTGCACCAATGCTAAACACGCGGCGCCGTATTCTAGACGCCTCACCAAGGATCCCATCGCTTCCATAATCTCCTTTCTTTTCCGTACCTCGGGCAAAATCAACATGATGGTCTTCCCCATCCGACTATCAAGAAGAGCCACCAGCGCAATCTTCGGGCAGATTATGCTTGAATAGTTCCCTTCTCCTTTCCTTGTTTTCGTCTTCGAGCCGCTGCTTACGCCCAGCTCATAATCCATGCTCACCAGCTCTTTGTGGGTTAATGCATACTTGTTCCAGTTGATTGTCATTGCTGGCTTTCCAGCTTACCCTGGCTTCCAATGGAGATCCCAAATCATGGCCCTCTGATCCTGGGAATATCATGGGCATTCGCCATCTTCAGTGGTATTTTCCTAGGCTTCAGATTCTACGCCAAGGTGACTCGCAGACAAGGGCTGTGGTGGGATGACCATGTGCTCCTCGCCTCGTGGGTAAGTCGAATTTCTACTATCGAATCCCGCTACTGTACTTTGCTAACCCAGATGAGTAGATTCTGCTTCTTTCACAGGCAGTCGCTACCCAATATGGCGTCGAGTTAGGTTATGGAAAGCCGCTCAATGACATTCCGACCGAATATTGGCCGACCATTGCCCTGGGGTCTGCCGCCATATCTATGGTATCGAGCATTGCCGCAGCACTTTCCAAAATGTCATTTGGTATTACTTTATTACGCCTAACGTCAGGTCACCTGCGCTCCACGGCATGGTTCTGCATTATTACCCTTTTGCTCACCCTGATCCCCAGTGTTGTGGGTCCCTGGATACAGTGTCCGCACATGGAGGCAACATGGAACACGTCTAGTGACGTCTGTTGGACTGCAGAGTCGCAAATCCAATACGGCATCTTCAATGCTGCCTGGTCAGCTTTGATCGATTTTGTTCTTGCATCATTGCCATGGTTTCTCATATGGAACCTGCAGCTCAAATCTCGTGAGAAAATTGGTGTTGGTATTGCAATGAGCTTGGGAATGCTGTGAGTAATTGTCCAGCTTTGTAGTCACGGACAGACTGTTGGCAATTGTCATACTAATACGGCTGTTAGTGCAGGTATCTGCGCCATTATAAAAGGAGTATATGTAGTACAGCTTCGGGAATGGGATTTTTCCTACTACGGCAAAGACCTTGTCATCTGGACCGTCGTGGAGATTGGCACTGCCATTGTCGGAGGATCAATTCCTGTCCTTCGCGTTTTCTTGAAGGAGACGATGTCTTCGTATGGGAGATCGGGCGCGAGGAATGATGGCACTGTCCCACTCTCACGATTGCACAGATACCAGCATTCAACCGTCACTACGACTGTACGAGCTGTGAAAAGGGGTAAAGAGGGAAGCTGGACTGCGCTAGACGAGGAAGAACAAAACGATGGCTCAAGTCAAAGGGGCATCCTGGTCGACGAAGAAATGGCTGGAGCTAGTGGTAGAGAAGCAATGTACGTGGGTGACCATATCTTGCAAACGAGCACAGTCACTGTTAGAGTTGAGAGCGGTGCTAGCCCGTCTCCTCAAAGTAGGTCTTTTCTGAACACTGATTAGCTTTTTTTCTCTCTGTTTTGCACCAGAGGTCCATGTAAGCATGGTTATCTCCGCGTCCGTATATTCCAGTATGTATGGGCCATGAATACAATAAATATCACAACGCTAGCTCTGTCGGAGAAATAGAGGCCCAAGGCAGTATTTATTATAGCCTTGTCATTGAATATATGTAATGCATCACATGTTGCTCGATATTAGACGCAACACGTGTCAGGGCCGATTGCGGCCTATATCATTTATTCACGGCCGACGCAGGTCCGAGTACTGTCTCCTTAGACATGGGCATCATAACGCACATTTGACCGTATTGGATCTCTGGTATAGCGCAGATAAGACTTAACGTACGGACAAATCGTACCAAAGCGCCTAGCTTCTGGAAAAGGCCCATAGGCCGATTGCCTTTAGTGATGACCAAACATGACAAAGCGGCACAGATAGGCTGGGAAGCGCTTTGTGTGCAGTGAGATTTACCGCACGGATCCGTTGCGAGTGCAAGCGATGCTGTGGACAACTGCGAGGACTAGCGACGAGTATTAGGGCGACAATAGTGCCGTTTCCATGCTGAGCCCCTCTTGAAAGAGCCGAAAGCAATTGCCTTTGGTTGCCGCATGATCTGCAAATGCGCCACGCTTGTCAGAGTCGCAGCCTTGGACGGGTCGGCAAGTCAAACGGTGACAACCTTTTTCAAGTGCCGGCTCACCTCAACCCCACAAACTTCCCCATACTCGTCTGAATCTCGTCATTGCCCTCATGACGGGCCACCCTATTCGGCCTTACAGCAATGTTTCCCCGCAGATTATTGCGTACTGCGTATGTCGTCCTTCGCCTTGGCCACGCTGGCCGCATGCTTCCTACCCTAGGACGATTCCGGTATTGTTAGCGAAATACTAGTAACCAACTAAGCCTCTACGACGCTTATCTCTTTCGCCCCTATATGCAGCGCAACAGGGATTGCTCAAGATTGCTCAACTGATTCTCCGATTCCTGCTGCGGCTCTGCTGCCATTCGCCCGACACAGCCCACCACCACTGCACAGCTCAGGGCTCGCTTCCATCGAGAAGGAAAACGGAACACTACACGTGACTTTGCGACGTTAATACCTCGGATAAGGATACATGGATTGCCGGTTAGAACCTTCAGCCACAATCCTCCCGCACTTCTCGGTGCATTTTAGTACGCATGATCAACTAGATCAGTCCTAGGAATAGACTAGCCTCGCTCTAAGTACTCCTGCGCTCAAACACAACGCAAATCTCTTCGTATGCGCATTGAGGCTCAACTGAACCCCCACGAGACGCACAGACTAATAGCCGGCGTCAGCAAATCAGGCCATGCAATGTACATCACTTGAAACCAAGGTATCTGAGTCAGGACTTTGATCAACTAATCGCACTGGTTCTAGATGCAGCTTAAACATTGCTTGAAAATTCAAAACTACTTGGCTGGTCTCACTTTAACCATGAAACAATGACGCCGAGGGCCTTCCTCCAACACTTGCCATTGGTCCAACTTATTTCGGGTTCAAGATTCCATCAATGACTGTTGCGAATTTAAGACACTCCTCATCACGCATCTTGTTAGTGTAGACTTGGATTGATGTTGGTAAGCTGTCCATGAGTTCGGGCTCATCTGTAAATGGCACACGTTAGCTTGTAATGCACACAGCAAATGTGTCATGAGGGAGCAAAAAGAAAGGATAGACGTACAGTTCGGACCGCACTGACCAGGGCCCATGACAAGAGGCTCAGGATCAAGTTTGCTAGATGACTTGCCGAACGGTATGACACATGCGGGGTACTGTCTCGATTGTCAGCATATGTCTTCTTCTTTGTCGGCAAACAGGAGAGCGGGCCCTCTCGAGCACTTACGTCAAGCACGTTCAACAACAATGTGTAAGGCGGCAGGCCGTACGTGTCATGCCGGACTGCAGTATGTTGCGCCGACGGTCCGATGACAACATCTAGCTTTTCATCCTTCCACAGGGATCTCCATTCATCCGCAATGATGTGCCTCTTTACGTTGAGTGCAGCCACTCTCTTGACACCTTCAAGGTGGGCAATGTCATCAAGAAAACTGTTTTTGAAAGCGCCCCACGCTTCCATGCCTTGCTTCACGGATCGTATTAGAGGTTCGCCACTCGCGTCAATGTGCTTTGCGCCTGTGTCGTCAAGAAAGAAAAACTCAAAGCCAACGGCCACTGCGTCGGCTACATGGGCCTTGGGGGCACTAATATTGTAAATATAGTGGCCCTGTGCCTCCAATAGCCTCACAGCTTCCGCCAAAGCTCTCTTGACTGGTGGGTGCAATGGGAAGGTTGGATCTTCGGAGACCACACCGATACGTAGCTTCTCCGGGCTTGGAGATCCAGAGAGATCCATCCAAGGCACGTCGAGAGCACTCGTGTCATACAAGGCTGGTCTAACCGACATGACTGAGCTGCACAAGGTGTTTAGTGCGTGGATATCGTTGGCTAGAGGTCCTGCACAAGGCTTGAAGAAATCCATGCCGGCAAGGGCTGGGGAAGCCTGCCCACCATCAGGTACGCGAGAAGTCGTTGGCTTAAAACCATAGGTTCCACAGCAGAGAGACGGTATGCGAATCGAGCCTAAATGACATGGTAAGTGCGGGAACTAGGTGCATATACCAAAATGTTCTAGTAACGAACCTGCAATGTCTGTGCCAATGCCCAGAGGAGATCCCCGAAAGCCCACTAGCGAACCTTCGCCGCCACTAGACCCGCCAGCAGTAACAAAGGTGTTTACTGGATTCAATGTGCGCCCAAAAATGTTATTCTGGGAGTCTCCAGTCTACTGAAATGTTAGCATCAAGTTTCCACACGGGCCGCTGATGGATCAATCTTACCATGAGAGTCTGCGGGATGTTCGTCTTGACGTAAATGACGGCTCCAAGTTCAAGCAAAATGTCGACAAGGGGCGAGTTCTTTTCGGACGGGGGATGACTCAGGAAAGACACGAATCCAATGCTGGCATCTGAACCAGCAACCTGGAACCCATCTTTGACGCTAATTGGCAAGCCGTGGAGCGGCCCTACTATCCGTCCTTGTGCTCTTTCGTCATCGAGAAACTTGGCACGGGCCTGTGCCTCAGGGAAATAGGTTTCAGTGAGGCACGATAGCTAGAAGATCGTCTATCAGATATTGTGGCTTCAACGTGTAGGAGTAGCTGCAGCTTACAAGTTGCTGTGCAATGGCTGCTCTCTTGGAAAAGGCAAGTGTTACGTCCAGCGCAGAAAGTTCACCGCTCTTCAATTTAGATAGCAGTTGTGCTACGGTATACTTCTCAGTAATATCCAATTCCTTCTCGGTCAATATGCCCGACTTGCGTGGAATGTCCATGTCATTTATACGGTGCGGGTGCTCTTCAAACGGCGTCTGAAGCGTTTGCAAAATAGCCGAGGGGAGCAGCCATTCCTTTGGCAGCTTACCACGGCATGATTGCTGCTTCGCGGCGACTGTCGACTCCCAAGAGGTAGTAGTGGATGCGGCCATGTTTCGGAATCAAATAGGAAATACGTATGGATATCAGAAGACGGCAGGGGACTCTACCAAGTATATATGGTGGCGGAGGCTATTCTAAATGCCGCACAAGACATCCGGAGTTAACATGATGCAAGGATTCACTCGTCAGGATAAGACGGATTTGACGCGTAGAGACTGAAGCGGTCGCAAGGTGTATCCCCGGTTGGTGGCCCGCCGGCACATAGTTAGCCTGGTGCGCTGCGTACACACACCCCATGGGCGTTGGAGCCAAGCCGGCGTAATCCATACCACATAATTGGACCGATGTACGTAGTAGGTCCGAGCGCATCCAACCATGCAGAATCCGGGGAATGGCAGATAACAGACCCAGACCCCTTGACTTTGGCGACTCGTGAGAAGGGCCGCAAGTTCACACATATATAGCTCCATCCAAGCCAGCACTGTGGGGAAACCAGCGCACCTGCCACACACGCCGTTTGTGTGGAACGCGGTCCCGTCGTCTTACCTAGTCCCTTTCTCTTCGTTGTATTCCTTTCTCCACCATGAACGAATCAACCGTCCACGGCGAGGGCGACGAGTCCTTCTGGGCGCCCGGTACCATTCGACTGGAGGATTGTATGACTTCCCAAGTCCTTGCACGCAAGACACAGTGCTGACAACTCGTCTACAGTGACCCGCTCCAGGACTGAAGTTATCCTCCATCCCATACCCACCTCTGATCCCGATGATCCCCTCAACTGGAGCCAGATGAGGAAGATGATCAATTTTGGACTAGTCGGCTTTTTCGTACTATGGACCTTCGTACAGCTCCAAATTGGTGCTACGTCCTGGGGCCAGCTCATCCCGCAGCTACATTTCACCGTCGACCAGCTCAACAATGGAGTTGCCATGAACTCAGCCGGCCTGGCCATCGGTTGCGTCCTCTTCATGCCCTTTGTGCACAAGTATGGACGACGCCCTCTATATTTGATGAGTTCCGCAATGCAGCTAGCCGGTGTCATTTGGCAAGCCAAGATGCAAAACTATGGCGACTGGCTGGGATGCAACTTTCTCACAGGCTTGGGTGGTGCCATCAGCGAGGCCGTTGTTCAAGTCACCATCGCCGATCTCTTCTTTGTCCACCAACACGGAACCATGAATGCCTGGTACCTCATCTTCACCTCCGTCGGTGCCACGCTTGGTCCTGTAGCCTCTGGCTTTGTGGTCCAGTCGCAGGGATGGCGATGGATCTGGTGGTGGTGCACCATTTTCCTTGGTGTAAATTTCCTTCTCATCATCTTCATGTTCGAAGAGTCAAAATATGTTCCCGTTCTCGCTGGCCAGACCGTTCCTCTCGACCGGGGTGTCACTAGCACAGATGACGTTAAGACCGCGGATGTCGACTTGGAGCCGGCAAAGGTCGACGTCAAGCACACCACCATGGAAAGGATACAATCTAGGATCGACCCAACTCTGCCACGCAAGACCTACCTCCAGCGTATGACGCTAGTGACCACCTCGCACTATTCTGTTCGCCACCACTTTTACCAACCCGCGGTCGTTCTATTCATGTTTCCTGCCGTCGCCTACGCAGCCCTTACTTATGGTACCGTCTTGGCGTCTTTGGCGCTCATGGCTTCTACCCAGGCGACGTATCTCCTCGAACCACCTTACAACTTTGGGCCTTCTGGTGTCGGTCTCATGAACTTGGCTCCATTCACCGGCTCTTTTCTCGGCTTCTTCGCCGCTGGTTGGCTCAATGATAGGTCCATCATGTGGCTCGCAAGACGAAACGGTGGTATCTACGAACCCGAGATGCGTCTCTGGCTTGGCCTTGCATCCGCATTGATCCTTCCCGCCGGCGTTCTCTTGTTTGGCATCGCTTTGGCTCATGTAAGTTGATCGTTTTCCGATGCTGATAAGAAGACACTGACATTCTCTGCAGGGTGTGCATTGGATCGCCATGGCTGTGGGCTTTGGCATGTTTGGTTTCACATTTGTGCTTGCTAGTGGCGTCGCACTTGCGTATGTGACGGACTGCTATCAAGAGGTGAGAAGATGCCTAAAACTTCCCGATTACATTGCAGACACTAACTTGACATCTTCAAGATTCTCGGAGACATTATGATTGGCGTCACCTTTGTCAGAAATGTCTTCTCCGTCATTATTCTTTTTACACTCACTCCTTGGACTAAGGCTATGGGCATCCAGAATGTTGCAATCATCACGGCCGTCTTCAATCTTGTCGTCCTTTTGCTCCCCATTCCCTTGATTATTTGGGGCAAGAAGTTTAGGATCTCAACCTCCAAGCGATACGAAGCAATGGCCCGTCGACAACCCGCGTTCCGATCACTGGAATAGCACTCGTAAAATCCAAAGTTCTTTTGCTTTGTACGCCGTCATCCAAAGCCTGTAGAATCATTATGTAACATTGCAGTCCTTCCTTTTATAGTTTGGCTCAATGTGGAAGCCAGGAGACGGCGTCGCACCAGTGTACTTGTCCTCGAATGTCTTTGATTGCCCAAAATGCAGTCAGCTGATCTCTTAGCCTGATTCTTGATCGTCTCGAAAATTCAATAAAAATATCAATTTGCTCAAGCGCCATTTGACGTTCCTTAATATCCGTGAGCTCAAAACAAGCGACCATGTACGGAATCTCCATGTGCGGAATGGATCGTTTGGTATGCCGAACCGCTGAACGCAATTCTTCAAGTATTACTTCTGACAGTGCTGTGCCTGCTGCTACCTCTGTACCGAAAGGATAGCGTAGCCGGTGAATCATGAGGAGCATAGACCAGCGGAAGATGTTAGCTTGAGCCAGTAGGCTCACCATTTCCTGTTGCAAGAAACGACTGGCGCATCCCTCGGGTAGTGCAGGCGTCCATTTGTGGACGACCAACTCGATTGCATCAATGATTCCCATGAGTTCGGAATCGCTAGGTCGCTCGTTCTGGCGCAACAGATAGCTGACTTCGCAAATATCGTACATGCAGGGTAGCATTGGCGCAGCAATTCCCACATAGCGATCTACACAGCCGTCCGTAATTTCCATCTTGAACCGTAGTGTGGGCACCTCGCCCATTAAATAGCATTCCTCAGTCTCTGACAAGATCAGGCAGACGAAAAATGCCGAACACTCAGGATCAAACACTGTAGTCGAGTCGTAGATGGGCTTGATGGTGAGGAGAGCATGTCTGCATATTGCCAAACCGCTTCCGGATATATGCAATGCGAAGGTGAGTGCGCTCACTGCTAGCAGCAGGATGACGGATAAATCTCCAGAATCGAGAGGTTTGACGGAGCGCAAAGTGGACACCGCGGAAGCCGCCCGTCTATGGCCAATGGACCTGTCTTCGGGGGAGGGATCAGGATCATACTCGCAAGCTAAGAGCGCTGCAGTTGCTATCAAAGCGTCGCTGATCCATGACGGCGCATTATGAAGGTGCCGCGCAAAAGTTTTGTGATGGTTTACCCGGAAGCTCTGTGCTATCAAGAACTGCTCAATCCGAGGTCGTCCTTGTGATATGCACTTGACAATGAACAACTCCCTTTCGTTCATGTCGGCAAACATGGAAAGAGTCCTGGGTGGAGACACTGCACCCGATCTAGCTGGAGATGCTGGTAGGGAGACTGTGTCCGATGCAGGGCTCGCTGGAGTAGTGCCTTGTTTGACTGATGACGCTGCTGCCGAGACCGTAGAAGAGCTCTCGCTACGGGCGCGACGTACTTGGATTGTTGTCGCACTTCCCTCACGGCGATGGTGACGAGGCTTGCGGCCAGCGGTTCCCACGGGTCTTAGGCTCTGGCATGTGTTCTGCAGTCGGTGGCAACGTTCGCAGGCACTCTGGCCGGGGATACGTCTACATTTTTCCTTGACGGCGTGGCACCTGTCGCACGCCCGTGTTGCTGGTGGTCTGCCCATTGAAGGCGCTCAAAGGTGCGTCCTCCGGGGTCATGGTAGGGTGTGAGAGTGGATGCGACAGGGAGCCTGATGCTATGTAGCAAGCTCGGGTGAAACACCGGCCAAATGACTAATCGTCCCGCAGCGCCCGAGCTTCTCAGCCCTGGGATCCGGGGAAAATAGCGCTACACATTTGGAACAAGCCGCGTTGTAAGATATGCGCCACTATCAAGGTCTACGATTGTCTCTTCATTCCTCGGTCTTCCTTACTGTACACAATGTATGTTCGCACAGCCTTTGCGCGATCAATTTTTATACTCCCTTCGCATTATGATGGCTACACCAACATCCTGACCAAAGCCGCATCGCACTTGATTCGTCTTGTTCGGCCCTGGTCACTTGCTATGGCCATCTCCCTTCATCTCGGCTAGCCGATAAGGAAAATCGAACCAAGTCGCAAACCCGCAGCCTCCTTTCCCGACTTGATGCTTTCAGCTAAAAGAGAAAGCAGGGCGTCTAATTGTTCCGTACGCTCCAAACAACTCTGGCGCGAGGAATGTATCAGATTTAGGGTTTGCAGAGATGTGGCAGATCAATTTGCTGGCTGTGTGGACCTGGGCGAAACTGCCAATTCATCCGTTGCCATGAATCGTTCAGTTTGACCTTTCCTCTTCATGTGAAATTTCCTATGCTCGATCTTGGTGTAAATTGAGAAAATCACAGCTGATGGTGTGTGAGGTGCCTGGTGGACGCGTAATAAGGAGAGCAATGTGTGAATGCACTCCCTGAACGCAATGATTTTGACATAGAAATTTTGATGCACGCCATTTGAGCGTTTGGCCGTATCAAGGACGTCTTGACGAAAATAACGTTGACCTCCTCGATATAGTGGTTTAGGTAAACCCCATGAGATGAGTAAATTCTATAGCCCAAGGCATGGGCGCAGGCAGAGCAGGCAGAGCACTACCACCCCCATGAAGCTAGAGGTTTACATCCCGTTTCTTGCTGGAAGAGGAATTTGAGTGAGATATCACCCCTAAAATGTTGAGGAAAGTAGGGGTTGGTCAGAGGCTTGATGATAAGTCCAAAGTTGAGATGCAGAAATAGGTCTTAATGGAAAAGATATGAGGCTTCAAAGCGGTTGAGTAGGTAGCTGGAACTCCAGAAGTTTTACTCTGGAAAACGAGGGAACTGAGGAAAACACATAGAGAGAGAGAGAGAGAGAGAGAGAGAGAGAGAGAGAGAAAAGAAGGATTGCCCTCTTGAGTGGCTCTGAACATATTTGCGACTAATCCCTGGACTCGTTTCCAAAGTATCATGGCCTTCAGAATATTTTGCAAGACTTGGGCTAGCAGTGAGTTTGTGAATGTATTTGCTAGGTTGGGCAGAGTAGTATCACTTCTGCGAGAATATACGCATGTTGGATGACCTTGCAACTTTTACCTTGTGACGTTTTACTGGAAGAGACTGGTGCCACAAATTCAAAGACCACGCACAAACAGCGTTCCCCTGGAGAAAAGTCTCTGGGGAGCGGCTGGTGAATATGCACAGGGTCCATGCAAGGCGAAAATGGCCAGAAGACGTCCTAGGTAGTTTAAGCCACAATTGTTCGCCAGGCTCCTAGTGGAAATGCCCATATCCTGTATAGAGATCAATGGACCAATACGGCCTCTACTGGATCGTTTTCGCCATGTGCATCCATATCTATATCTGCTTGATGCTCATCCTGGGTTGGGTCTTCGGTGGGAGTAGGGCGTCCTTCGATCATGCGAATCCACCATACAGGAGGATCGAGCGGACTGTGATTGTTGTGTAAAGGCGGGTAGATATCGTTGAAGTAGTACCATACTATTGAAACTTAGCTCTACAACGAAGAAATCGGGGCAAAGACACGGGGACTCGTACTGTGACCTACGACAATGCCGCACATCTCGTCTTTGGGTACGGTTCCATGCATGATCAGCGAAAATGCTAACAATACCCAGGGAAGGTAAGGCGCCTTGAACACTAGCAATCCCAGGAAGCTTAGCATGGTATCCGGATTCTTCCTACTCCAGATATATATGAGGGTGCTAGACAAAGCAGAGCCAAGGAAGGCCATGGAGAACATGGGCGCAATGCAGAGGAGGAGCGTGGATGCGAAAGTGAGGAGCCAGGCGAAGTGTGCCGTGGACCGCCCAGAAGACTCCTCCAAAAGTCGCGCATAGCGTTGAAGAAAGAAAATGTGGTAGAGGAGATCGAGACTGAGCGGACCAAAGTAGAAAAAAGTGGTGAGAAGCCTCCAATACTGCCAGGTGTCAGTACGGAATGGCCAGATTTAGATCCAAAGTTGAACGCACCTGGCTCTTGAAGAATACAGTACGGACGCTATAGAACAGCTGGAAGGGTGAGATGATGTGGCATTGTACAAGCACGCTCGCGCTTAGCGCTGCAGTCATCCACCAGCGAGTGCAAACAGGCATCTCGTAGAACCACTGCTCGAGCGGAAATCCTCCGACCCCACCCATCATACCATCTCCGCCTTGCAGCACGTTGGCCATTTTGTTTATGCCTGGCTGGGGCAAGCAGACTGCGCTTTCTCTGGAGTTGGAGACACCGGCGACGCAAAGATAGTGGTGATGAAGGGAAGGGATCCAGCATATAGAAGCTGGGTAAGAAGCGAGAGGATAGGTGTCGGTGAGCAACCGCTGCGCTCTCGTGTCCGAGAGTGAAGGACAAGTACGTACATAAGTGGCTACGTAACGTGAACCATGGCTGACGAAAGCGCTAGCTTGATCTAATCTAATCTAATCGAATCTGGCCAGCTTAGATTAGATAAGATGCGGTTGAGGGCCGCGCACTAGCCACACGTGCCAGCCCCTCGGCTCGGCCTAGCACTGCGACGCGACCAAGCAACGCGAGAACGGCTGGCAATGCGAACAAGCCCATCTGATTCAGCAACCTTTTTTCCATTGTCCTAGATTGCCCTGTTCCTGAGACCCATATCGATCCCTAACCGTCTTGCACATTCGAACCGCAGCGCGCCAGCTCAATTAAAGCCAAAGTTTGGCGGCTTCGCGTCGCGTCCGGTCTACGCGCCAACCTCGAATTCCACCCAAACGCATACATTTCTCGCGACCCTGTCGTCGCCCACTTTGCTTTCAGCAGTTGACGCAACATTTCTACGACGGAAACTCAACATGGCACCGAAATCTCCTGCCAGGCGCAACAAAGCGCGACCATCGCGAGGCGGGAGAGCTAGTATTGGTGATAGAAGGGAGTCTGGCAAGCGACGTACGTCAAAGCCACGCAACCAAGGGGCGCACCCACAGTGACTGACATGGCACAGTTGGAGCGCCAGGACCTGCGCCTGATCGCGCAAAAAAGCGCTATAAGCCTGGTACTGTGGCTCTTCGTGAGATCAAGCGGTATCAAAAGTCGACTGACCTGCTTTTGCTGAAGCTCCCTTTCCAGCGCCTTGTAAGTGCGCGACCGTGACAAGCCATTTACCTCGTTTCTAACGTGTCCAGGTCCGTGAAATCGCCCAAACAGTCACAAGCGAAGAAGGACCCAACAGATGGCAGAGCCAAGCCATTATGGCCCTACAAGAAGCTACTGAAGCCTTCCTGGTCAACCTATTCCATGATGCCAATCTATGCGCCATTCATGCAAGGCGCGTCACCATTCAGCAAAAGGACATACAGCTCGCACGTCGCCTGCGCGCAGCTTGGGGTGCTCCGGTGTAATATCGAGCGGAGCATCGTATGCAGATACCCAGTCTTATTTTTCATATGTATTGTTTTCGAATTTGCAATTAGGGGTTTTAACATGGCGTGCCGTATAGGAATCGGCTTTTGCGTGTCTGAATAAGTACTTATTTGTCAGCCAAGTTACATACATAACAGTGTTACTCTCCTCTGGCAGTACTCAGAAGCTTTTCTAGCGCACTAAACGTACAGGAGGTCAGAAGCCCATAGTTACCCTCGTTCCTGATATCATGTCTAAAACTATGCAGAGTTGCCTGCCATAGCTACCTTGAATGTAACTAGTAACACTAGTTTGGCGTATCACGGCTTGGACCATCTATAACTGCCTGACCTATGATTTTAATTTCTTGAATCTTCTTGTAGAGCGTATAAGATTATTTTGCTGAGAACGGAATGGCGGGCTACATCCGAACCTGCCGGATCCGGGTGTCGAAAAGGATTTTGCGCAACACATTCGGTAGTACATACCTATTTGGTCATAGCCTAGCAACACTGCGCCTTTTCACTTACGACAGGACACATGGGGTCCCTGCCCAAGTAACAAATGCTGGATTAGCCACGTTTCTGTACTCATATTGCCTGTCGGCCCAGGCGTGAGAACAAGAGACAAAACAGGGGAACCTATTCTGTAATTGCGAGCAACACGCTGGCAGATTTGGACTCGTATATCCCAGACCATCCGCATGATAGCCCTACCAAGCCCCTGTATATTCCATCGTATGTAACGAAGTACAGTACGCCATGCATCCTCTAGGCACAAGCTCAAACTAAGCTACTTGGCAGCCAGGGACCAATCCTTTGGATTAAATTAGATTTTTTACTTCCACAGACGCTTGGCGTTCTTGGAAAGTAGGCCACGTCCTACACTTTCGGTCCTACTGATATTCTACCGTTCTGTTTTCATCGAATTCGGCGTGCGTATGTTAGAAAAATACTATGCACCGATATAGTACGAGTGTCTATACGCATTAATGACTAATGACACCGACTCCTACTAGCTGGATACAGCATGTATTTCCGCTATACGCTATACTGGCATACGCTCACAGTAGAGCAACGTAAGGATACAGCCATTTGAGCATCCAATCTACCTCTTCCCTTGAGGTGCACGTGGTCCAGACCGCCTCTCAAGACTATCTTTTTGTGGTAACAACCATTTGCTAGGCGTCTTGGACAGTCACTAGAGCCTCCTGCGTACAGCCACCCCAGTTTCCTCAGCATAGTCTTAAAATAAGTAACTATTGTAGGAACGATGATTGAAGTGTATATAAGGTGTATAACTTGATAGCTTTTGAATAACACCACATCAGCTCAGCCAGCCATCTTCTGTCAATCCCTCGTACCTACTGGGTATCTGAACTGCTACGGAACACCAACACAACTCTCGCTTTTTCCCTTCGTTCTTCTATCATGAAAATCTCCACTCTCTCTTTCTTCGGCCTCCAGGCCGCTCTCGGCCATGCGCAGGAATCTTGCAATGCCGCATGTCAAGCAGCCTTTCGACCAGCTGTCGCAACTGAGATTGGCTCTATGGTCGCAAAGAACGTGTCCTCTGAAGCATTCTACAGCACGCCTGCCAATGCCACCGGTGCCAAACCTGGTGATGTATTGCGATGGGAGGACCTCCCTCAGTCCGTAGTAAACACCAACTTTACTATACCCTCTGGAATGTCCCTTTCCCGCTTCCTCTATATGACCGAAGATATCGACCGAAAGCCTATTCCCGCCAGTGGATTTGTCCTTCTCCCCTATAGCAGGCTCGATCCAAGCAAGCCGTTGAACACCGTTGTGTGGACACACGGTACAGCAGGATTCACGAGAAACTGCGCGCCTTCCAATCACAAAGACCTGTACTACGAATGGCAGGGACCCTACTACCTGGCACAGGCTGGATATGCCGTCATCGCTCCAGACTATGCTGGCCAAGGATCCGATATCCCTCAGGGCTTCATGTACGAGGCTGGCTTTCTTCATGCTGCTGACGCTGCTTACTCCCTTGTCGCTGCCCGTAAAGTTATTGGAAACCTACTCTCCCAAGATTATGTTGTCGCCGGCCACAGTGAGGGCGGCATGACTGCATGGAGGACCAATGAGCGACTTGCAATGCCCGACCAGGACGAACTCAAGAAGGCAGGCAACTTTCTTGGCTCAGTCGCAAACTCACCGGCGCTCCGTCCACTCGACTTGATCCCTGAATCTGTCCGACGAGCGAACGGCGGACCTATTGGTGATGCAGTATCCGTCTTCTTCTTGCAGTCGCTTGCTGGTCTCTTCCCCAAGGAGTTCCGCATTGAGGATCACCTTACACCCCTTGCGCTAGCCCGAATTCCTCTTGTCAACCAAGGCTGTATCATTGCCGGTCGAGCCCTTTTCGGAGGCCTGACTAGCGCGCAGCTATTCAAGAACCTTGACTGGCTTAAGCTTCCCGTAGTCGTCGACTGGCAGAAGCGTTTCAATGGCGCCGGACCACATGCCCTCGCTGCGCCAATGCTAGTTGTTCAGGGTATTACCGATGTACTCACCTACGCCAACAATACCGAATGGGACTTCAACCAGACTTGCTCATCTTTCCCCAACTCTAAGGCTACCCTCTTGCTTTACCCTGATTCGAACCACGACGTTACGAACGGCGCAGCAATGGTTGACATCATGAAATGGATTGGGGACCGCTTCAACGGTGTAGCAGTCCAGGATGGCTGCCACAAGAAGACCATCGAGACACTCACCACAAGGCTCAGAAACATTAACACCTCTTACAACGGCACCGCCTAGACATATAGCTCTGCCTATAGTAGTCAATCAGCAGTAGTAGAGATGTTTTAGAGTTGCGAGGAGTTAGATAGGGGTGGAGGAGAGTTGGGAGGGGTTCGATATAGGTGGAGTAGAGTCTCAGTATTTTTATAGATCAATATATTTCTTTCTATCCCTAGCGCAATTCGTACCACTTCAATCCAAGCCTAGCCTGATCTCTTTCACTGCTAGTTGAGAAAGAACAAAGTAACTCAAGTAGAGATTTGACAAGACACTGAATCAACTTGGTGCTTCCCATAGCTCTCGAGCGTTGACCCGAAAGGCCCTTTCTGTTAGTCTCTTGTGACCGTTACACCGTTTCAAGAGATTTCTCTCAAACGGCAAAGTATCGCACCCACGTGTTTGTGTGTGCAACCAATCCGAGCCAAACACAGTTCCGTCCCCGCCCCGGGCTTTCAGTTATGCCATTGCGAGACCATCGAGATTTCGAAAGTCCGTATTATTCGAAAACAGATACGATGCAGAATAATGAACGTACGCGAGATGTTTGATCCAGATATCATACAAGGATTCAGTGTATTGCTTCAGAAGCTCTACTAGAAGGACTCATTTGAAAATTTGTCACATCGGTGTACACGTCGGCCATTACTCAGCAAGCTTATTGTAAAGTCACTTACGTTCGGGACCCTATTGATCAAAATACTTATTGCAGTTTCTAACGTGTAAAATTAGACGAGTCATACTTCATGATAGCTGTCATAATTTAAGTAAAGTAATTCTGGTGGGTAATGCGTATCGAAGCCTCCAATTCGGAACCGCTGATCATGTTCACCGATATATCTTGCTTATCACAGGGCGGAACACAGCACTTGGATATCCCAAATATGAGAAACCTTGTTGCATCTGCTATTGGCAGTTATCCAAAATCCATGCAAAAGCTACCACGATCCAAGCAAAGGTGGCACTGAGGGCTTGTTGACACAATGTCCGTGCTGTGCCCATGCTCCGCAGAATGTCTACGGTTTGTCCTCTTGGTGTAGGATTATCAGCTTACGTTGGTGGTTGAATTCGACCGTCCCACTTTCTGTTCTTGATTGCTTGCTTCCCTGCTGCCTTATTTCCCGGCTTTGTTCTGCGCGAGCATTTGTGACTCTTCGCTAAATTAACGAGCTATACATTCTCACTGAGCCTGGAATGACTACATAGCATCAGTTTCTTGGTTTCTAAGTTTGTGAAGGAAAGAAATGAAGCTGGGCTAAAGAGTATCCCATCATAATGACTTCGACGCGCGATACAACCTTCACTTTCAAGGTTCGTTTGTTGTGAGCATACAATTGTGTTTCGCGAAAAAGTCGGAACGACTAAAGCTTGCTAATAATCACATCCTACACAGTAAATTTCAGTACTGCTGTTTGGAGGTCAGGACAATACACCGGATTTCAATGCTCTCTTGTTGTCGGCGCTGTATTGGAGTCGAGACAAAAGTGTGCGCACAGCGTGCACTGTACAACCTGCCGTTTTCATCAAGCTCCCTATCACTACGAAATACCTGTATTAGCACGTCCTAGGTTGTACTCATGTCCTTGCAGTACCAGAACTTCTGACCAGCATTTTGACTGACGGCAAATCTTTCGCCCGTGTAACATGGATAAACCTGCTCAACTGATACCAAGTCAGTCTCCGCAACAGTACGCGAATCGGTAAAGATTAGTGGATGGTCCTTGACCGCACAATTGATCGGAATTCAAACATTGGTGATGCGATACCAGATGCGAGGCCTCATCACATCGTCTAACAAAGCTGGTTGATCCGCCAGCTCGTGTGTTGCTCGTAGGTAGCTATGCGCCGTACCTGGACTGATCAATGTGAACCTTGCATACGGGCCGATGTTGCCTTTCCTCTGCAACCGCGTGTCGCGTAGTTATGTCGAAGGGTATTGTCTTGATCATATGTGGGATATCTAAGATTAATGCTTCCTTAATAAGGGGAAAATACTCCTTATCAATGTCTTCACGAGATCAAATCAATATGTTTCATTACCAGGCCCCAATACAAAGAAAATCCATGAACAGATACTTTGAAGTGTTCTTCGTGTCCCCGGGCGTTGTGTATGGCTGTGAAGACTTGATTGTGGTCATAATTGGGAGTTCCCTTAAGTTCTCCGTTTTTCGTCTCATGACTTGGACCGCTATCGTTACCAAGGGACTGTAGTAGCACAATTCCCTTTGTATGGGAAACGATGTTCATGTCGCTTTTGATCATATAGATCAGGCGATGGGTATGTTATTTGCAAAACGATGACGACAAGTGTAGGAGTAAGAGGAATACGAATGAATACGATGAGGAATTTAGTATGTAGCGCCCAAGATGTGCCTGTTAGTAATACTCCTGTTTATCAAAACGGTGATATGCTTTACAGTCATGGCGATAGGGCCAATGTAGTGGACTCTTGTGCATGCCTAGAATCAGATCCACTCACCGGAAGCAAAGCGAGAAGAGGTGTGGGTAAATATCCAGTCCTTGAAAATTCACTTGGAAGAACCCTACACTGCGTCTAAGCGCGGCCTGGGTACGCCCAGTCTGCTATATTGTTAGCTGCAAGCGGACGGAATGTCTATTTGTAGCCCACAATGGAAGCATCGAGCCCTTGGACACTGCCACCTGTTCCAGAGGCGTATGGGTGCTACCTTAGATGCCTGTTCACCAAAGCCCCACCAATGTCGTGTATTGAGGGGCCTTAGGAGTCACAAGTATGGCAACACAGGTGAGGAGTATCTTGTCTATTGCTTTGTGCTACAGTGCACCCCTGCTGCCCACAACCTTACTTCTCCTTCAAGATCTGAATCTAGCACTAAATTCATGTATACAAGTAAAGATTGCGCCTGGATCAGGGTTGACCGGCACGCTGATTTCCAACATTTGTCTCTCGCGGACTTTCCACCTCCACGCAGACAAAATTGTTACAAGCATGAAAGCAATCGCCCACTTAATGAAGGCTTTAAGGGTGCACTTCTCCACCATGTTCATCCCAAATAGAGTATGTTTTAATTAGTTTAGTTAAATCAATACAGTGGGGCTCAAGCTGAGTAAACAAACACAGCAGCGAAAGTAGGCGGAAGATATACCATACTCAGTAGCGTCAGTCGTTTTAAAGTCTTACCCTGAGCGATTTTGATCCTTGCATCCGCTCGTTGGAGTCTAGTCATCTCAGCTGCAAGATTAGCCTGCTTGATAGTATTGATGTTCAATATCTAGCCAGATTAGCATTTGTAAATATGTGTATATACCTCTTGTAGTCTGAGAGGGCTCACCGTTTCTGAGATAGAACTGGTGCGATCATGTAAAGCCTTGAGACGTTGATCGACAACTGGCAGCGCATTGTACTCTTGCAATAGATCTCTCTTGAAGGTAGTCGGTATAATACAATAGCGCAGCTGGAAGCCCGCCTCTGTGAGTTAATTTACATAGCGATTGTTGTATCAAAGATAATGCTGAATGTAGTGAATGCTGAGGAGAAATCGTCGATACAGCCATGGCGCTACTTCTATCAGTTCTTCATCCGTTAATCCTTCTGCATTTAAGGTTGTTAGAACAACAAAGCTTGTATGATGAACAAAAGACTGGCCGATGACTTTAAAAATTGCTCTATCTTGTTCAAGAGGAGCTTCCAAGTAGACTTCATTTCGTAAAGCACCTGATTAACCAATCCAAAGCCATCGTCGCTCAATTGTCTCAACAAAGCTTCAGGCGTGCATTTGTTGACGTCATCGGTGATCCATGAGCTTAAAGGGTGTTTTACACCTCCTGGGACGTTCAGCACGCAGTGAGCGACGGTGAGATCGATGTATGGATTGCTGAGATAGATGAACGTCCATAATTGGCCGTCCTCCCGCAAGCGCCCTGAGATTCCTCAAAGCACGTGAATTCTTGGAAAAATGGGTTGATCTGGAATGAGAGTAGCTTATACGTTGTCTGTCGATTTGGGTATATCTCACTGTTCGTTTTGTCAATTAGCTTTATCAATCGAACTGTGTGACTTAATTTTCGGCCAAATTTGAATTCCTCGGTGGTTAGCTGCGTAGCTCTTTGGAACCCTACACAACCCAAATCGAAATGCAAAAACTCCCTTTCCCACAATGAGATTTAGCGATAGCAGATATTCTGTAAAATTTACTGCAATTTACCCCTTTTCACTCAGGCCTAGCGAAACACTCTCGATCGCTACTTTCGAGACGGTTGGTCTAGAGCTCATAGTTCATCTGGGGTTTTTGACCCAATAATTTAATGTCTGTTGCCGACCGCTGAGATTCGTTTCTGGAGCTCTTATGAACCTTAATCGCAACTTGCGCTGACCGTGCCTAATTACAAGATGCGAAGGAGTTAGTTCGAAGGGACCTGTTCATGAGTGGTCAGCAAGTCAAAAGGGTATGTCAGGGTGTAAAACTAGCACCTTTGTTCAAAAGCGCCTCCAGGGACCATGCATCGAAAACTAGTGTAGTCTCTACCTTATTCTGACCTCGCGCATGTTAGTAGCTGTTGAGTTGATGTGCTGAGATACTAACTAGTTGCGAAGACTTCGGTCACTTCGATACTCGGCGTGGAGGATTCGCACTTCTTCAGCAGCTTCTCCATGGCGATATTACCAGCTCGGTATCTCATCTATGGGGCACTCACGCCTAGTGCCGCTAGTTGCGCTTTGGCAAACGTCGCTATAAGTGCATGTATTGTACCATTTGGTGTCTTTGAGACGCATTAACGAGTGGTTTGATGAGCAGGCTGAAAATGACGATGGGCGTAACAAAAGGGAGATGCTGTAGACCTTGATAATCGAGACAGAGTGTTGTATGACGCTTGAAAGATATTGTGCAATCGGCTGCAAGGCTTCTCTGAGCTATTGGCAAGGTCAATTAATGCAGCCAAGTACGCGTGTGCCAATGCTTTTCTCGCTGGTATCCTGGGACAAGAGATGAAGAAGGGGTGACACGACTGTGTTCGTGAGATAGCTCATCAATAGTCTTCTAGGTGAATTTCTGATCGTCTCAGCGTTTATTTTAATTCGAATGCGCTTGTAAATTAGCTTCAATTAATTTGACCTGGCCCTGTGCTCGGAAAGACGTTTCATCACCCCCAACCCGTCCCTAATCTCCTCGCCGTTGCGTGTTTGACAGGAGGGCAGGCCTGTCTGTTCGATGGGAAAACTCGTAACCACGTTCCGATACACCGAAGCCTCGAGAATATTCTTCGATAATTAACAGAATGCTATGAAACCTCCTAAAAAGGTATTACCGTGACCAGTAGGGTCCGACAGCTTGTCCGAGTGCACAACTCGCCATACGTTCACGACAATGAACAAACCCAGTAACTATCCATCAATTGGCTCACGATCAAACTCAGTGGAGAGAAATCTCGGCTATTCCGGAAGAGCTGCAGCCTTATATATTTGCTTGGAAAGGAATCAAAACTAGGTGTGCAGCATCCGAGTTTGAAGTATTTTCACAACACCTGATCATCCCATGGCTCCATCAACTTATTTTCCGCTACAGTCTCAGCAAAATTTGGAATTGCCGAAGAGTGTGCCCACGGTTTCAAAGTCAACTCTTCTTCGATGGTATGTGCAAAGCAGCTAGACCATTGATTGCATGGATAGGCGGCAACGACCGACTCAATAGTGCGTTTGCTTATAAGAGTAGCGTTTTTACCCGCGTTGTCTACCATGTCAGCATGGGCAGTACAAAGTTTCCTGGTGGGTTTCCAAGTTCAAGATCTGGACCTACCAAAAAGAGTAGCAAGCTGAATCAATTGTCCAACGGTGGTGATTGTACCAACATCACCAATATCTTGGTGTCGAATGACTGCCTCTGCTACGCTCTCAGCCTGCTCCTTGGATGCCCCAAACCCTTTCAGTATATCCAGCGCAAGGTAGCCACCATAGAACTCAAAGGACAAGAGTGTTGCGCGAAGATTTTCCGGGGTAGCACCAATATCATGAAGGAGACGTGTTAGGTAGTAGGTTTCTAGACTGGGCAGAAACAGAGGCAGATGCTTTCGGGCGATTGAGGCGCCTTTTCATCATGTTAGCTCTGCCCAGTAGTCCCTATTCTCCTGAGAAAAAGTCCTACCATATAAGTACACCCGCATAGAGTGGTTGTAGACATCGTCTGGAAGCCGCTTCTTTGCATAATCATGGACTTTCTTTGCGAGTTCGGTCTCTGGAATTTGGATATCCGTTACGTCATGAACAGCGGGATCCCACGGACTGACGTCTTTCAGAAGGACAGACGTGGCATGTGGGACCGAAGTCCAGCCGTAAGACTCGAGGGTCTTTGCGGAATGATCCGCAGGTTGAGACATTACGAAAGAAGTGTCGATCGAATCAAGACCGAGAAAGACAAGTACTTTGTAGATGTGTGATATCAAGACGTGGTGCTCTCTGCAGCAGTACTGATTTTCATAAACGCTCTTGGAGCCTCCCTTCGCCTTTATTCTGATTCATTGTCCTCCGTTTCCGAGGGTTCAGAACGATTGCATCGCAAGTTGTCCGTGTAATCTTGGTAATCTGGACTTGCATGATTATGATTTCTAAGCAGTTTGCTTGCAGTGCCTATTACCTCCACTAATTGGGAGTGTGCCTTGAGGCGTAGCCGGTGATTACACAGAAAAGATATGAGTACGATAGGGCGCATGATTGCGTAGTGTCGGCGTAACAGGCCGCTTAGACATACTACACCTGTCGCGAAGGGCGTGTGACGGCATCGCCACAATTGGTAACGCATACTGGGGTTCGGCACGTCTTGAGAGCTTAGTAGCTTTTGGCGCCCTTCGGCCTAACTAGGAGATATCCTCGAGTGGGGTCCACTAGCGTGTACAGAGTTGTGCGTCGTACCTGTTTGGACGAAAGGCGCAGTCCCTCGCCTAATTTGCGAAGCTGTTTCGGCATTTGTTTCGTGGCTGAAGGGCGGCCTACGCCAGATCAGGCGAAAGGCGTAGTTGTGAACATTGCAGAGTTTTGCATTGCGCTCCGTACCATCCGTATACTCTATTGAAGTGCGGTAACGTTCGAAATCGTGCTAATTTCACATGGCGCATTTAAAGCCGCCGGGTTGGCATGGATACACTATTCACTCAGTTGGTGATCGGCTATTACTTCGACCACGAATATGGCTATCTCCATAAGAACATAATCGCATCTCAAAAATTGCTTTAAAATCCCGCTGAGTAGTTTTACCTCTGCACAAGACAACGAATCTCAGATACCATCAACCTATTGTCTTGGGATCTTGTGCAACTTCAATGTGCTCCTGTTCCGTCTCTCCAACCTCCTTCAAGCTCAGTCCATCGACTGTTGGCGCCTCCATCGCCGACTGAGTGTGGTTCGTCATGTAAGGCGTAGGATCCTCGACCATGAATGATGCAATAAGGGCCACAACACCGAATGGGATCGTAATATAGAACACAAATTGAAATGCGCGCCCGTATGCGTGGCGTACTGCGAGTCTCAATGTCTCTGCAATGGCAGGCGTCATGCCCTCGATCGAGCCCAGGGACGCTGGGTACGGCACTCCGATGTTGTACGTGATGGCGCCGGGAATGATTGCGCCGAGATCAGTTGCATTTAAGCCTGCAGCGATGGCAGCTCGAGGGATATCCTCACCAGAATAAGTTTTGAACTTGTTCTGGAAGATAGTATTGAATATGGCATTTCCGACGGCGCCGCCAGCCGAGCGGAACGTGCCTAGAAGTCCCATGGCAACACCGAGATGCGAGTATGGTACGTGCAGACTAGCAATGGCATAGCCGAGAATGGTAACCATGAGGAACATGGGAACTCCGAAACTTGGGACAAACGCCCAGGCGATCTTGTGGTTTGGGTTAACGGTGGCTGCGCTTGCTCCGATGAAGATAAGCTGCAAGGCCGTACCGATGACAAACAGCCACTTGATGTGTCCAATCCTGTGAGCGAAGATTGGGATGATGACGCTGACGACGATGGCGACGATGTTATTAGGTAGGGCGAGGACACCAATTTCAATGCCGTTAGTTGTGAACATGTACATGGTGCCTTGAGGTAGGAGGGCGGAGAGCGAGTTGAAGTTCATGCCAGAGATGAACAAGACGATGCAGATGCACAGAAATCCGCGCCACAACTTGAATAGCCTCAGCGGAAAGATGGGGTTCTTTGCAATGGTGAAGTCATAAGCAAAGCCACAGGCAAGAACCGCTATGCCGAGGAGCATGGGCGCGAGAACCGATGCTCCATGCCAAGGGTGCCCTGCAGACCCGGCCCAGGTGAGGCCAACAAGACAGGTTGCCAGGCCAGTAGTAAAGAGTGCGAGACCGAGCCAGTCAACCTCGAGAAACTGCTGCCATCGGGTCTTGTCGTAGTCGCCACGGGGACGGGATACTGGATTGTAGAAGAAGGCTGTACCGACGAACGTGATGCTCTCGACGATGATGGAGATGTAGAAAATCCATCGCCAAGTGGAATATTTGAGGAGGATATTGGCAAACAGAACGTTAAAGGAGCCCCTACAGCGGATCATGTGGTATTAGCGTTGTAGGATGGGGTGTATTAAGGGCATACTAGAAAGACTTACCAAGGAATCATGATACCGCCCTCGAGGATGCCAACACCAACAGATCGCCATTTGTTGGGAAGCATTTCTGTAGCTCCAGAATAAGACACAAAGACAAAACCAGCTCCAGCACCGATGACGGTCTCAGCTGCAACCAGGCTGGCAACGCTCTGAGCTGTCGCACCCACGATTGAGCCAATAAGCACGATAATCTGGCCGCCAAGGACAAGGATCTTGCGTCCAAAGACATCACTGAGGGGGCCAGCAATGGAGAAAGAGCAGGCGCTAGCGAGCGACCAGGCGCCGACGATCCAGGCGAAATCCACATCATTCCCCAGATCCCGCGAGACCTGAACGACGATGGCGGCGAGACAGGTGAAGGGGAGCGGCACTGCAGGACCAAAGGACGCGGCCATACACTGTACGTTCATTCTTTAGTCAGCATACTATCAAGAGTATGGATATGTTGGTTATTTCACGGGATCATAAGACATACAAATATGGAGATCCATGTCCTAGTTGTCGTTGAGGTTGTTTCGGGGTTGTCTTCGATGGCGGCGCGATGCGTGTCGTCCTCAAAATGAACCTTGGACTGTGCATGCGCCGCGAGCAGCTCTTTGTTTTGCTGGCCTCCCGCCATGGCGATATCAGTTTTGATGTACTCTGAAATTCCCAGCTGTTAATGCTCTCGAATCAGCGATGGCTTCTTCATCGCCCAAACCCAGCCAGAAACACGGGGTACTTATTGACATGTCCCCCGCATGGCACGGACGCATACTTAACGGGCGATGTTCAAAATGATCCCGGCAGTTCCAGAGTGCATTGTATCTGCCGACATGTCGAATTAGAGCCGAATCGCCGAACGAGGCGCGGGGCCGCCGAACGAGGCGCGGGGCCGCCAAACTTAAATCCCCACCTCTCCACACTTTGGGAAGTGGAGAGAGCTGAGCCCCGGTCTATAGTATGATTGCGGCTAGTTCTCACGGTAAATAACTCGCCGTGCTTCGTACTAATCATGCTATGGTTAAACTATGAGGTGAGTCTAAGAGCCGAAGTAGTCTAGAGAATCGATATATCACGAGCCTGGAGAACGATCTATTGTATTAGTAGAATCAAGTACATATAGCGAAACTTGTATAACTTCTATTCAAGTGTAGCTTATCGTTATATATAATGTATATATATAACTTTCCTCGAACAGGTTTAGAACGAAATCCGATTGATATTCTTAGCGTGGTAGCGAAGTACTAGAAGGCGCAGTACTATCAGGAATATACTGGTGTAGTTATAGAATAGTAATCACTAAGTACGGACACATTCCAATAACATAATACAATTCCAGTCACATCTATCTACGCTCTAAACATCTCTCGCACGATTATTACGTACATTCGTCCGTCGAACATGGGCATTCGCACGAGCACGGCTCAGTTAACCCGCACTACGAATAGGGTTATATGATCAGCCGAAATCCTCATTAGGTGCGCTCTAGAATGGGTGGAATTTTCTTTATGTTTCTGTCGCTTTGGCAATTCAATTAAAGCAGCGTCTCTTGGTGAATTGAGCGTTCCGGTAGTATGCCTTGGTAGGTCGCCCTTTGGTGCAGCGCTGACAGAGAGTGTCAATACTGCCGCGCAGATGATCCGGGATACCCTCATAGTTTTGAAGCAGAAGTAAGCATCGGTAGAGACGATCGTTATCTTGCGGAAACAACGATTAGTAAGGGGGTAAACTTGTAAACGCTGAGTGGGGCTTATTAATCTTTAAATATCGCAATCCAGGTTAAGAATACGCTAGCAATAATAAGTCTCTACCTAGAGGTAGAGTAGAGGTAGAAGTATTATTACTAAGACCTAGACGAGTATTTAGATAGAGATTAAGTAGAGATAGAGTTACTAAGAGTTAGATAGAGATAGAGTAGAGTAGTAATTATATAAGACTCTTACCTCTATCTCTACCTAACTCTTAGTAACTATATCTTTATCTAATCTATATATTCTATATTACTTTACCTCTATCTTTATTTAAGCTAAGTATTAAGATAGAGAAAAAAAAGATATAGTTCGTAGAAGTTAAGTAGAATTAGAGATTAGATTTTTAAACTATAAAACTTTACTTTATTTTTAAAAAAAATCTAAATAATTCAGATTAATTTCGTGTTTAAATAGTTTATATATTAATAATTATTTGTAAATATAAAGTAACGTAGTTTATAAGGAAGTTAGCTATCTAAGTAAATTAGCTACTGTATACTAGCGCGTTAACTTTATAATATTATAGCTATTCTATATAGTATATTAATAATTATAATAGGCTAGTTTACTCTTTAAATCTATTACTAGTATAAGTATTATTTATTTCTACTATATAGGTATACGTATTATATCTAGTCTTCTTATAATATTTATACTATTTCTCTTCTTATACTCTCTTTAACGTACTTTTACTATTACTATAACTACTATTTACTTATTTAGGTAATAAGTTTTATACTTTACTAGTAGTAAGAGTCTCTTCTATTTAAGTATATTATTACTTATAGCTTTTATATTTATTTTCTCTATCTAGTACTATTTAGAGATTAATTATCTTCTTTTTAGGAAGTACTATTTTATATACTATTTACTAAGTATTCTTACTTTACTAAATAATTTACTTAGTAAGTATATTAATAGCAGATTTATAGTATTTTCTTATACTCTCTAAAAGAAGATTATTTTAAATCTTAACTTTCCGCGCGTTATATAGTATTTATACCTATTAATTAACTACTTATTATAAAAATAGTAATAGTATATATACTACTATATATTATATAGAGATAGATATAAATACTTCTCTAAGCTTAATCTAGATAAGAGTAAGTAAGATAGTATAAGAAGTACTATAAGAGTTTATCTAGTGATATAGTATAGTAGTATACTTAGATAGAGAGTAATAAAGGTTTAATAACTACTAANCTATATTAAATAGACTAATAAGTAATAATCTTATTAAGTAAAGTAACTAGTTAGAATGTATAATTTAAGTTAACTATAGAGAAAGTAAATAATAAAATATAGTAGTTCTTATATCTCTATTACTTCTAGTTTTAGTATTTAGCTAATTCTTTAGTATCTCTAATGCCTTAAGTATCTTAAGATATTCTAGTATCTTCTAAGAATCTTATATCTTTAGATATTCTATCTTAGTAAGATACTATATTATATAATAAGCGCTTAATATTAATTATTATCTACTAATATAGACGTCTATAGGCCTTCTACTATATTATTATTTATTAAGAATAGAATCTTTCTTATTATATATAATAATATATTAAGCTTTAATAGTATATTCTATAGATTATATAGAACTAGACTAGTATCTCTAAAGTCTACTTAAATTTTCTTCTATATAATAGACTACTTAAACATAGCCTTAAAAACTAGTAGAAAAGTCTTTTTACTTATATAGCTAGTATAGTTAAATATTTAGTTTAATATTATATTACTATATTTACGCTTTTAAGATAAAAAAAAGATAATATTAAAAGACTATTAAAAGTAATAAAGTATAGAGATAATTAGAGAATATTTATATTTTTTCTATAAAGATTTTAAAATATAATAGAACTAAAGCTTTTATAGCTATTAATAATAAGTAGATTATATCTACTAATAGTAGAGCTCTTAATATAGATATTAAAGTACATTAGCTACGCTAAAGTAAGCTAGTTATTTACTTAGCTATTAGAGCTAATTATAAGGACTTAATTAGTAGTTTAGTTTTTAAATTAGATATTAATAAATATCTAATTTATAAAGATAATAAAGAAAGGTATTAAGTAATCTAATATATTAATACTTTAGATTATAGTAGCTTACTTATAGTTACTTAGCTAAATATATTCTTTTTTACTAAAACTCTCTAAGCTAATAATAACTAACTATAATAAAATCTTATATATTTTTAAGCTAGTCTTATATATTATAGTATAATACGTAATTAAGCTTAAAAGATTAAAGGGGCGACCCGTAATTAAGTAGATAGAAATAAGCTAAAGGTTAATTATTATAAAGAATAAATTAGAGAAGGTGCCTATCTACATATAAAAGATAATTATAATATATACTATACGCTTAGTTACGTAATACTATANTATATTTTNCTCNTNAGCTTTTATTACTTAGCTCTCTTAAGCGCCGTAAAACTATCGCTAAATTCTAAAGTAGTATCTCTTTTTACTTCGTGTTCTAATTATAGCTTAAACGTAGGCTAGTTCTTATAGTTAGAGATTATAGTCTAATCTCCTCTTGTAGTTACTATAAGTAGCTTTCGTTTACTACTATTACGTGCGACTCCCTTTTACTACTCTTTAATACTAAACTAATATTACTTTAATTACTTAGCTAATTAAGTAAATCTACTTAGTAATTACTATCTACCTTAGTACGCGCTCTTCTATTATCTTCTCTACTTCTCTCTTACTATATAAACTACTTATCTCTCTCTTCTAGAAGCTATTTATCTACTAACTTTTCTTCTTATTACTTTAACTACTTCTTTAATTTCTTTTTAACTATTATAACTTTAGTAGCTAGCGCTTTAGNTAGTNCTAGAGGCNGAGATAAGAAGCCTAACTAGTTCTTTACTATAGATAGTAATAAGTAGTTAAGTCTTTAGCTATATAAGACTTACTTAGCTAAGTTAGTTATTCTTAAGTAGCGTAAGTNCTTTACTAAANTTCTTTTAATACTCTAATTTAATAACTAACTACTCTTATAGTTAAGAAGTAAAAAGGCTATTAGATTAACCTAGCTTTTATTTATAAGCTAGCCTATCTTATCTAGTAGATTTAA